ATTAGGAACAAGGAGGACAGGAGGAGGATTTTTCTTTATAGCAGGAAACAGACATTTAATTATAAAACATGATTTATTTCATGTTAATCTGAAATCAGTTTAGTGTTGTTTGTAAATATATTTGACAGTTTTGTAGGAATGAACACGTTTGTAATGTTTGTTCAAMATAAACCTGCTTCTTATGACTTCTGTAACATGTTTTAAATAAAATATTATCAGTAAAAACCTCAAATCAGGTCCTTTCTAATAATTATTAGAACTAGAAGAACTTTAACTCAGCAGAGTTTCCCCAAGGATTTTTTTAACCGTGGTCGTGACCTCTCATGTAGGGGTTTGACAAAATCTGGTTGTCCTCAAAACATTTTGGTTGTCCAAAAATATCTCAATAAAAATAGAATTTAATAAGTAGGCTATATTGTTCTGTATACAAAGTGTAAGATATACAAATGTTCTCAGTCAGCAGGTTGACAGTTTTAGGAGCTGCTTGAGGAAAACATCCTCGTTCTCCTCCTCATCCTCTTCTTTGAAAAAGAGATAAAAAATCAACATCCATAAGCTTTCTGCTTACAGGTCAAACATTTTTATTTAAATAGGAGTAAACTGTGTACTTATTAAAGTTACAGTTTAGTGTTCTTAGGACTGAAGACTTTCTGAGGAAAGAAGTTTTTAGCATCTTTTCTATCATTTTAGTGTTTTCAACTGAGGAGCTTTGATATATTTATTTAAAATAAATKATAGCAGAGGAAGTTCTCTGCACAGAATTTTTTTTTACTTTTAACCAAACTGACAAGTTTCTCTAGTAAAATGATTGTGTAATTTAAAGGCATTGAAACACCTGGTTAAATTTAGAAGGTAATATGATTAACTACAAACATCTGAAGCTGACTCAGAGAACTCTGTGATTTTAGAAAAAATAAAAGTCAAATGTAGACACGTCTTTAAGAGACCCTCCTCCTCCTCCCCACCCCGTGCAGCTGTGGTCAGCGAACCTCCAACCCCCCGCGTTGTATGATTAATACTGATTTTTTACGCAAATTACAGATTTTTGATGCTCATTAAACACATTAAACGTCTGAAGGGGTTGACATGTGTGAACTCTTCAGTCCCGGGCTGGTTGGAGCTGATCTGCAGGTGGACATATTCAGCTGCTGTCGCTGCCCCTCGCTTTAAAAACAGTCAGCTGATTCGTCGCGGTTTTGTTGCGCTCGTGACGTGAACACACAGGGGGAAATGTTGTGAAGTGCTTTTAGAAATATAATAAAAATAAAATACGACGTAATCCTCGGTGGAAAACAGTCCAGGAAACACGGGAGGTGTTCACCTGCAGTGAAGCTGACCCCCCACCCACAGAGAAAGAAAAAAAGACAGTAATTATTGATAAGGTAGTAACCATGCTGTGGCTTCACCTGTCGCATTTTCTTTTAAAGAAAGAAAAAGTAGTGCACAAAGCTGTCGCATCGGTGCAACGTGATTAAAAGCAGAGCTGCGCGTCTAATCTCACACATGTCTTCCTATCTTTGTGAGGACCACACACAGCGCTCAGCCTCGCTCTGCGCCGTCTTTTCCCCCAAGTTTGGTGAGAGGTGGATATGGAGGGATGCAAAAAATAGCTCTCGACTTGATCTGGCCTTATTTAAATAAAAATGACTACATGCCATGAAATTCTTAGAGGGGCGGGCCGTCTCGTTGGCTGGGGGACCGCCCCGCCTGTATAATGGTAGGGGAAACATTGGTTAAAGTAACACAAGATAAGTGATAGACATTTGGTTGCAACTAGTACACAGATTAAAGCATAAAGAAGAAAACAATGGTGAGAATGCTGAAGAGAGGAAGTCCTGGAGTTGGCTCTGAATCCATACAGTCTGTGAGAGTTCAGCTCATGTCTGCTCTGTGAACAGGCTCAACATGGGATTAATGATTGGTTGTCTGTCTACATGCTGTGTACTGCAGGTGGTGTTAAGCCCTGTGCACTGAACTGCTTGGCAGAGGGTTATAACTTTTACACAGAGCGCTCCCCCACTGTCATTGATGGGACCCGCTGTCAAGCTGACTCCCTGGACATCTGTATCAATGGAGAGTGTAAGGTAAGGCAGCACTTCTCACGCATTTGGTGTTCTGTGCAGGTGTTTGCTTTATTTTTATTATACTCTGAAAGAAAACTTATTTAACAATGAATTATTTTATTAAAATAGATATCAAGCATGTGATGAGGTTGGCAATATTTTGGTATTCAAGTTACATTCTACTTACAGTTTCATATCAGCATTTAACCATGTATAATAAGAAAATAAAAGGAGAATCTGCCTGGACTTTTGACCCAGTTCTACAAGATGAAATCAAACTACAGTTTTAAACAGACCAACTAGACATATAGTACACTATTACTTATCAGTATACTATTGGACTGATATCGTTGATGTAAAAACTAGTAGTATCATGGATGAAAAAAGCTGTAACTTTTCTTCTTTCTGTCAGTATTCACATTTGCTGATCACACTGCTACAACATAAAAAGATTGGCCAATACATGTCAAATGTTTGCTGGACTTCATGTGGAAGTTAGTAACTAGTGTATTAAACTGTGACAGGCACACACATGCAGAACATGCCCAGCTGGTCTCAGTCTAGAGCAGGAGTTTACAAGCACCCCCCCCCCCCACCTTGAGAAAACAAAACAAACGCACCCCCACAAAAATAATAACAAAGAAAGAATTATTAAACTGGACTGTATGAACCATCATCAGGTAAAGTTGCTACCTCTTATAAATATTTATAAGAAATACCCACCTTCTTCTGCAGTTTCAAGCACAGAACTCTGTATGTCTTCATCTACAGAACAGAAGTCCAGTTGCTTCATCTCTGTTCTTTTAATTTCTCAGGATGAATCTACTTCAACAAATTTGTTGAACAAGTTATTGTCAAACTGTGTCAATGCTAATGGGTTGGGGTCTAGGGCTGCAGCTAACGATGATTTTAGTAGTTGATTAATCTTATCGATTATTCTGACGATTAATCAAGTAATCGGATAAAAAAATTGTCATGTTCTGCAGTAATTAATCAARCTTATTTTATGAGAAATACAATTATTTAATATTGTGAAAGGGTAATATACATCTGCTGATGACCCTGCTGCAATCAAAGTAAAATTATAGTACTAGTTGTATTAATTAATGCATTTTAAACTCCATTTGTTTGTATTTATGTATGTAAGGTTTGAGGAGGCACTAATTAAAAACAGTTATTGAATCATTTTTATCCATCACAGAAAAATCTAAATGTTTAAATTTATTGTTATGGACTGGAAAACTGAATCTCTTTTTTTTTGGGGGGGGGGGGGGTGTTTAGAAATTTAACAAGTGAAATGTGTAATATAAACATTTGGGTGTTGCAGTTTAGTTTTGTAGAGTTAACTTGTTAATTGTAACAAAAAAAATCATATTTTTAAGGCTATTATTAGGTTGATGCAGGGCTCCTATTTAAAGATTTAGTCTTGACTGCTTAGTTACAAACAAATATAACAGTGTAATGAAGGCTAAAATCATAAAAAGCAGCAGCAAATAATTAAAAATATCCAACTATCTTCTATAAATACTTTTAAACTTGAAATATTCACGCCAAGTATCTCATTTAAACTAAGATAAAAACATATCAACAAATAAACATGTTTCAGCTCAAGCTGTCGATCTGTTGTTGTGTTTTTATTTTTATCTGACAAACTTACAGAAAGTCTTGTTTTTAATCACACAACTTACACACTGTTTAATAAAACCTGCCAGGTCACCATGATTAGTCAGCACAAATAAYGTTRGTTTAAAWATACCTCCTCCTTATACATGTGTAACCTGACAGATTATCACAGATTTAGGTGAACAAAGGTAACGTGAATGATACCTATTGTTACCTCTGGACATGTTCGGTACATGCAGCAGTGTTTTTGTTCCGGTGCAGAAACATCATGGATGTGAAGCGTACTGTGCGTTGTCGTCTTTTCAGTTTAGTTTTAAATGTTCCCATATTTTTTTTTAATTTGTCGTCTTTTGGGCGCTTCGTTTCGGCACTCTTCGTCTTCTTCTAAAGCTAAATATAGCGCTTAGCAAGCATACACGCATGACGCGTCGACAGTGTAACTGTTAGCGGAAGCGCTAACATCGTAGCATTGGGTGTAACACAAAAAACATTCCGGGTGGACGAAAAAGCGCTGATTATAACATGTACTTTTTACAAAGCTTCGAGGCAGATAAATTTGCCTCGAGGATTTTTTGTAATCAAATTACTGGAATTCGAGGAATCGTTTCAGCCCTAATGGGGTCAATACTGAGTTTATTTTACCTTTATTCTCTACCACCACACTCAGTACCCCTGGGGGTGAGAGCATTGCAAATATCCAAAAAAAAAATGGCAGAAAAACATATTCAGTGTAAAAACGTAGCAAGTTTCTTCACTACAGTGAAGTTTTTCCAAATTTGAATCAGTCCAGTCTTGTTTTAACAAATCGTGTAGGTGGTGGAGTGTGTACTTAGGTCAATAATCAGTTGGAAAGAGGGCCTAAGCAATCTTTTCTGATCTGGACTAAGAGAAAGTTTTTCAGGAATTTTTTTTATGATCTCAATTTTTTTCAAAAACATTTTCAAGGAATATAGCCAAGTTTGAGTAATTTAGCTGAAACAGCACAAAGCTTTTAAGATAAAACAAAAGTAAAAAAAAACCTGTAGACAGCCTCATCCGACTCCCACAATCTCAGTTGTTAGTATAAGGCCCTGTTGAGGGAATTCACAGTGTTGTAGTGGTCACCTCGAGGTGGAATAAACACTTCCACCTGTCTTTGACCTTGGTCTCAGAAGACCCAAATTGTAATTGGGACAAAGACCCAAATTGGCCCTGCCAATTTTAAGAAAAAGTGCAGCAAACAAATGGTTTATTAACATCTAACATCTAAGCCTAAAAAGAAATTGAGCTCACAAATAAAGTGTACATTGGTGATTTTGTTTGATAAATGATCACATTTATCAAAGGATCAAGTCAAAATTCACTGAGTCACGTTCACTTTATGTGTTTGTCATTCAGTTTTGCATAAAGAAGATATTTTCTGAAAATACCCGAATTTGTGATAAATAAATTTCCTTATAACTTGTGTTATAAGAAGGTGTATATCCCTTAGTGTCAATGGACATGACTTAAATTTTGCTTACAAATGTTCTGCTGTCAACTGTTCAAAAATTGTGACAAAATAGATCGTTAAATTTACAAATAGGTATTTGTTTTAAAATCACAGCCTTAAATAACAGTATCCAATTTAATTTAGTTTTTCTTTTAATGTTTAGTTTAGGTCCTTGAGGTTCTTTAGAAAAAAAAAAAGTAAGGATATATATATTTTTTAGGCTGTCAAATGATTAAAATTTTTAATCTATTAATTCCAAGGTAGCTGTGAATTAATCACGATTAATCACAATTAATCACGATTAATCTTAAATATTAAGCTTAATATAAAACTTTATTGCATATTGGTAAAATAAATTACTTGAGTTATTAATTAATGTCTTTATTTTGAAAAAAAATGGTGCTTAAGAAATCCATACAACAATAAAAAATCATGAAAATATGACTTCGATTGCACAAAAACAACAAAAATCAGGACCTAAAAAATGCCCCAAACATATGAGTCAGTTAAATTTTATGCAGAATAATGAGGTTAAATCAAGAAATCAAGGATTTTCATTCCAAATGACATGAGGAATGAAAGATAGATACTAAGGTCACAGTTGTCAGCAAAACATAAATAAATAAAAT